ATGCATGTGCGTGTGCAAATGTGCATGTGGAGGCCAGATGCATTGGGCATCCTCTCTCACTCTCTGCCTTATCCCTTTGAGGTAGGGTCTCTCCCTGAACCTGGGACTCATGTTTTTCAGTTAGGCTGACAGCCAGAATGCCCCATCAATCCTCCTGTCTCAGCCCTGGGGCTACAGATATGCACAAGACCATGCCTGGTTTGTTACATGGGTGCTGTGGTCCAATCTCAGGTCCTCATGGTTATGTAGCAAGTGCTCTTAGTCACTGAGCCATCTTCCAGCCCATCTATTCTTTTCTTCTTAAGGCTTTCAGCTGATTGGCCTGATATATTAAGGAGGATAATCTACTTAACACCTGCTGATGTAAATGCTAAGGACACCTAAAAATCACCTTCATAGCAACATCTAGAATAGTGTTTAAACAAAACCTGAGTTGACACATGGAATTAACCTTCGTATGTAATCCTGTCAGCTTTGCACTGGGCACCAGGTCCTGTACCTACCTTTCTTCATCCTGTTGTCAGTTATCAGAATCCCTCTGACTGACTTGGTGCTTTCTGGGTTGATCTGTGTTTCAGTGTCTTACCTGCAGGAGACATGGGACTCTGCAGCAGTCCAAGATTCCGTGGCTCTGTGGCCTGATTTATGGATCAACCCCTCTTTTTCATAAATTCATTCATTATTCTTTTCTGCAGCAGAATCGAGGGCTTTCCCTAACATGATAAGAAGCAAGGGAATAAAATCAACCATCCAATAATAGCTGGACATTTAGTCCACCCAGAGTGGGAGGGGTCGGCACCTGGGTCTGATGCTACAATCAGCTGGCAAAGCTCCATAATTGTCAGGCTAATCAGCATGCTCCAGAAATGCCCTCAATAAGTTCCCCAATGGGAACTTAACAGAGTTCCCCAAAAGAAACATCTTCAACTGCCCTCATCCTCCAGGGCTCTCCCATTAGTGAAGGAGGGAAGAGGTCAATTTCCTAAGGAGCAGTTCCCCCTCGAGCCTGGGGTGATGGGAGACTCAAGAGTATCTGTCCTTGTTCATCAGAGTGTTTGCTGTTCTGACAGTGATGCAGGTGCAGGATGGATTCTTGTTTATCCTCACAGAACTGGGAAGCATCCATGCTTCTGGTTACAGACGGGGGTACACGTCCCTGGAAGTGATGTCAGTTGCTCAAGGTCTCAGCAAGTTGCAGAGCGAGTGAGCTGTAGATTTCTACACTGCCAAGTTACTGTCATGGCTGATGTTCTAAGAGCTTCAGGGGTCTGGAGTTGTCTTCCACTGGCTGTCATTCCTCCAGTGGCACATTTCGGAAGGGCCTGAAAGGGACCAGTTCCTGGACCTCAGAGCTCAGAGGCTGAGTACTAGACCTCCCCCTCTCACTGACACATCTGCCTCAATACCCAAAGGGTCATCACCCCCTGACCACTTCCTTTCTTTCATCAAGTAATACAGGACAGTAAGGAGTTTGGTACAATCATCGTTTCTGGGAGCCACATTTTAATAGTGTCTAGTTTTCTAACTATACATGTCTCCAGTGGGTAGAAGCAGTTGATAGGGATCAAGAAGCTGCTTGTGGGGCTGAGATGGTGGCTCAGTGGACAAGGAGCTTGTTGACCTCAGCACCTACATCAAAACTGGGTGGGCATGTCAGCCTGCCTGTAATCCCAGCACTCGGGGTGCAGAGACAGGGGATCCCCAGGGCCAGCTAGGTCGTCTAGTGAAGTCTGCAAGCTCCAGGCTTAGCAGGAGACCCTGCCTCAGTAAATAAAGTAGAAAACGATTGAGGAAGACAGCTGATGTCAACCTCTGTCCTCTACAGGCATGAGTGCACATAGCATGTACGTGCACGCATACACACAGATGGTGCAAAACCGTGTATGCACACACACATGCATACCTCCCTCCCAACACACACACAAAAGAAGCTACTTGCATCTGCTTCATTTGGTTCCCTATCTGATCGGACTTAATGATGCAAAACTGCTGTTGGGTTATAAGGAAAAAGTACTCAGAGACATAGAGCCAAGAGCTGGAATTCCTTTACAAGCCCTCTAGCACTGACCAGGGCGAATCTGGGAAGGCAGATAGCTGCTAGCTACAGCACCGGTGGGTGGGGCACATACTTCTGGAAGGAGCAGTTAGTCTCTCTAAAGATGGTTTTCTGTTACATAAGGTGTTTTGGCATCTTGCTCCCTAGGAAATTTCTTTTGGAGAAAGTAGGCCATGCAAATGAAAAGGTCTGACTGGCGATCATTTGCATCTGGTGACACTTGCTTGGAGGGTTAATGAGGTCAACTAGTTAAACAAACACATTTTCTTTGAGCACCTGCACTTCCACATGGACTGGCCCAAGATTTGTTCTTGTGTAAGTGCCTGTGTATAGCTTGTTTTGTTTGCCTTAGAGAAGGCAGAAGGCAGCTTTGTGTTTCATGGACCCAATAGAGCAGAAATTATGGATTGTTTCCTGCTGGCCTTGACCAAGGTGACCTGGAACACATGTAGTGTCCTGGATGTCTTAGTGCATTTTTCTATTACTATAAAAGAATGCCTGAGGCTGGATAATTTGTAAACCACAAAGGTTTATTTCTTACATTTCTAGATGCTGCAAAGTCTATCATGGTGCCAGCTTCTAGGGAGAGAGGCCCTTCTTACTGCATCATAAGGCCTATCACCAAAGGCCTCAACTATTAGGGAGCATGCTTGAGAGACAGAAAAGTATAGCCAAACTCATTGTTTTATTAGGAAGCTACTCCTAGAACAGCTAAGCACAAAAGACCCACTTTTTACAACGGCAATTCTGAGAGCCTGGAACACGGCCTCCTCCATAGCATTCAGAGAATCTTTCAGAGCAGAAGGACTACAGTGTGATCCTGCCTCTGTCCCAGCTCTGTCTGCCCTATCTCTCCCCCAACTGCCTTTACCTGACCTTACACTAGGCCTCAAGGGTCATGTAGAGTCAAGAGTTGATAGCACCATAGTACCAACCTCAGTACTGTGGAAAATGTTTTCAGTCTGTTCCTAGGGTAAACCATTGAACAACCTCTGGCTGTTTCCTCATTAGTAAAGAACTTAACATACTTGGCCTCATCCTGAGCTCCCCGTGTCTTCATTAAAGGCAGTGGTGGCTGTTGGGATGCTGAGGAGGGTGTCTGTGGAAAGAGCCACTGGCTAAGGGTACACTCTCTCAGGAGCTACTATTCTGAAGGCCGAGCAACCCCACTTCCCATTTCTCCCCTGTTGTCTTTCCCATTCAAGGACCAAACGTAATGAGCTCTCCTCCACAAAGGTGTTGAGCATCCTTGTTGGAAAGGGTGCTTTTATGAAAGTGCAAAGATGCTTCCTTGAGAAGCTTTTCAACAGATAAATGAAAAATAGATGAGCTCCCTTGAATTGCAAATGCTCTTCAAGTTGAAGGCAAAAATGTGGAAAGCTGCCTTCTCCCTCACCCAGAGCCAGAGGAGCAAGGTCAGGGATGCCTGGCCTGCATTTAACAGTAAACATCAGTGCCGTCATTTGGGCCAGAGAAAGCCTTTCTCCTTTTGCGGCTGCTTTGTGGCTTCACCCTGCCCAGAAACTTGAACTTGATTAATTTTAATTCAGTTCAGTTTCTGCTGGCTTCTCCCACCCTGCAACCCCAATAGCTATTTATTATGCCTTCTCTAAGTACCTGGCTTTATGCCAGAGACTGTGGGGTTGAAGACATATCACATAATCAAGTTCATGCCCATCAGAGGGATTATAATCTGAGTCTATGAAGATTAAATCTACAGTGAAAAAAAAATGACTGTATATATGGGAGTTTTAGATCCATACATAAGTGTTCCCATACCTAGAGGGTAGAAAGAGCTAGAAACCCACCAGGACTGCTCAGGACTCTGTGGAAGTTAGTCAGGACCTTGGCCTGGCTAAACACACAAGGTCTAACATTAAGATAGAAACAGCTACTGCTCAGTTTGCAAAACCATCACTGTAGTTAGGATCTCAGGGTACCAGTTTATTTGTTGTTTTGAGACAGAGTCTGTGTTAGTCACGCCTTCTTGTAGTTGTGACTGTATACTCAGGAGAAACAGTTTACTCAAGAAATGATTTTGCTCACTATGTCAGACCTTTCTGTTCATCATGGTGGAAAGGGCATGGAGAGCAGCAGTTATATCATGGCGGATGGAAAGTACATTGAGTGACAGGAAACAGTCACAGCCGATGATAGCTGCCAAGGACATAGCCCTCAGTGACCTTCTTCCAACCAAGCCTCACCTTCCATGGTTCCACCCTTCCCCCAGCAGTCTGTTCACATTTTTAATCTATCAATTGACCCAAGGATGGGTTCAGAGCTCTCCCGAGCTAAGGATCTCAGGAAGGGCCCTCCTAGAAACACCCAGAGGCAGACTTTACTAATCCCCTAAGTGTTTCTGAATTCAGTCAAGTTGAAGGTCAAGATTAACCATCACAAGGTCTCCCTTTGAAGGTCAGACTGGCCTTGAACTTGAAATCCTCCTTCCTTCGCCTCAGAATGCTGGAATTATAGCTATGTACCACTGTGCCCAGCTAGGGTAACCCTGCAAATGTATACAGTAGGTCCCCAGAACTTCTGATCTGCTGCCCCTTAGTTCCTTGAGCTGACTCCAGCATGCCTGACCTTCCAGTGTGACCTTAACCTCTCTGGAACCTGTTGACAGAGCTTAAAGCAAGTGAACAAGAGAGAGTCCAGGCCTGCTGGTTCCCAGGCAGAGAGAGTTGGAGCCAGCCTCAGGTCTCTCTGCATTCAATACACTGGAAAGTACACAGCCTTTAAAAAAGTTGGAGTTTCTCTAATCAGTTTAGGTGATTTTTCAGAGAAGAGGCCCATAGGGTATTCTCTTGGGTGTCTGAATATGCATTCCCTTCTGATTTGTAGGATAAAAAGCCCAAAGAACAAGAAAAAAGAGGGGATTTTCTTCATCGACCATTTTCTAAGAAGTTGGACAAGAACCTGCCCTCGCACAAACAGCCCCCAGCCTCCCTTATCACACAGCTTCAGAACACCAGAGCTCTACTAAAAGACCGGAAGGCCTCCAAGTCAGGCTTCCCTGACAAAGGTGGGTCCACTTTGCTGTCTGCCCCTAGGGGTGGCCATGTGGGCTCACCACAGATGCCACCCTGGGAAAGCAATGTTGATAGACCCATGGCAACAGAAGAATCAGGGGTCAGACTCCGGGATGTTTGGCACCTATGCAGGGGAGATTTGAGAAGGCAGAGATGGGGTACACAGCATCATGGAAACAGATTGATGTGCCCAGTATTATAGGAGCAGAGATGGGGCTGTGGCATAGGGGCAAGGAATCAGGATACGTGGTACTATGAGGGAAGAGTTGAGATGCCCAGAATTTTAGATTGGAATATAAGGTACTGTAAAGGCAGAGACTGGGGTACACTGTATTGCAGGAGCAGAGGAGACTTGACTGCATGATATTGTAGGAGCAGAAGTTAGGGTACACGGGCATTATAAGATTAAAGATCAGGCTATGTGTAATTGCAGTATTAGAGACTGGGTGCATGGAATTATAGCAGAGATTAGGATACACGTTATTTTAGAAGAAGAGGTTTGGGCTCATGGTATTGTGGGACCAGAGGTAAGCATGGAGGGTTTTACAAGAATAGCTATCAGAGTATAGAAAAGAAATAGGTGTGTAGGATCAGAGACTGGGACACACAGTGTTCTCAGGCCAGAGCGAATGCAAAGTATTACAGGAATAGAGACTGGGACAGAGATCCCTGTACAGAAACAGGGAGAGGAGGGCAGAAGCATGCACTGAGACGTGGTTTCATTCGAGTGTTCTGTAGAAACATGGCCCCTATGAGGCACTGAAATGTCACTGAGTCTAGGCTCTGGAATGGTGGTACGGCATCCAGGTGCACATTCAAATCCCAGTTCTATTCATTGTGGGCCAAAGGTCTTCACTGGGTCCCTTAGCTGTAATTGCCCCTAGCTGTTGGAGCTCCTGAGCTGACTGAGATGCATGTGTAGGCTCCTCCCCTGACTCAGAATCCAGCCCATCATTGATAACTGATAAATATGAGTCTCCCTCTTCTGGCATGGCACAGATTTGACATGTTTAAGAGGAGCACCCTGGGAGGGGACCTGTGAACCAGGGGTGTCCTGACATGGAATCTTGAGGCAGAGGGAGAATCTTCTCACTATAGCTTGGAGGAGTTGCAGCATCTGCTCCCTCTGTTTGAAAATGAGGTTCAGAGAGGGCCGTGGTCATCTGAGGTCAACTCAGGCTTGCTGCTTACTTACTGAGATTCCCTGGTGGTGGCCACTGTCCCTGCTTTGCCCAAAGCAGTCTGCCTTCTTTGGTACAGAGAGCACAGAAGACCTTGGAGGGGAGGTGATGCTCACGAGCCAGCTGGAACATTGGAGACATTGGCCGTTAATGAAATTTTACTTCTTTCAGCTGTCAGGTCTCAGGCATCTGCTGCCTGAGGAGATTTATTTCTGTGTCTGGCTATTTATTTATGTAGGGAAAGAGGAATCTCAGTGTGCCCTTAGCTACTCCGGAAATCCCTCCCAATGGGCAGCAGCTTGCTCCTGCAGCTGGGCTGTGATGAAGACTATAAAATGTTAGTGAAAAGAATGTGAGACAGAGCTTATTCCACACAAACCTGGCTTTATTTTCCCCAAGCTTTCAGTCGTGGTGGGGTTTTCCCACTCTTCTCTGGTACAGTTTACAAACCTGGATTCTGGTCTGTGCCAAGTTCAAGCTGGATATTCTGGGCATTGGCTGGTTGCCCTAACTACGTAGGTGAACTGCCTTTGTTCAGAAATAGATGAGGCTCTACTGAGTTCAAAATCATGAGGGAGTCTTCAGAAGGAGGGAAATCTACAGCCTTGAATGAACCTGGAGGCCCTTATGTTAAGGGAATGGGCCAGGCATCAAAGAACAGATACTGTTTGTTTCTGCTTAATGTTCAGGAAGGCCAGAAGCAGATGGGGGGTTACCAGGGTGTAAGGAGAGGAGAAAAGAAAGTGAGCATTTAATGGGCACATTCTATCTGTAGGGCTGGAGGTTTCACAACCATATGGATAAACTTTACTGAACTATAGACCAAAAAATAGTTAAGATGATAAGTTCTCTGATATATATATTTCTACTAGTATAAATTAAAAGGCTCCAAATGGGACACAAGTCCTTCCAGGGTCAGTAGTTGGAGAAACAGATGTCTAGGTGTTTAGTCAGACTCTGTGTAGTTAGACGAATATAATGGGTATTCTGTCAAGTAGGTGACCCCTTTTCATTCAAAGGCCCTTTGACAGTTTAGAACTTTAAAGTAATCAGAGGGGAGCAGATATTAGCCAAGGGCTTCCTGTCTAGCCTTCTGCCCCTGCATCGCCAAAGACTGTCAGGCCTTGTGTGGGGGCTGAAGCTGACTCCTCGTCCAGGTAGCCAGGGCCATTTTTTTTTTTTCTGCTTCCTCCTGTCTTGCCCCGTCTTCTGTCTGGACGGTGTGCACTGTTGCTACAGCTGCCTTCACACTTTTGTTTTCTTGGTATGCAGATTCCTTTGGCTGCCGCAATATTTTCCGCAAAACCTCTGACTCCAATTGTGTGGCTTCATCTTCCATGGAATTCATCCCTGTCCCACCTCCCAGGACACCCAGGATTGTAAAGAAACTAGAGCCCCACCAGCCAGGGCCCGGAAATGCTAGCATCCTCCAGAAGGAAGAGCCCCTGATGCTGGATATGGTGCGCTCCTTTGAGTCTGTCGATCGTGATGACCACATAGAGCTACTGTCCCCTTCCCACCATTATAGGATCCTGAACTCACCTGTGAGCTTGGCCCGCAGGAATTCCAGTGAGAGGACATTCTCCCCAGGGCTGCTGTCCGGAAGCACATCGCCTCTTCAGGCTCCACCACATCCCACGCTGGTATCGTTTGCTCATGAAGATAAGAACAGCCTACCCAAAGAGGAGGGTGTGTGTTCCCCACCTCCAGTTCCCAGCAATGGCCTCACGCAGCCTCTGGGGAGCCCCAATTGTGTGAAGAGCCGGGGAAGGTTCCCTATGATGGGTATCGGACAGATGCTAAGAAAGCGGCACCAGAGCCTGCAGCCTTCCTCAGAGAGACCCCTGGATGCCAGCATGTCCCCTCTGCAGCCCACAGCCCCTTCCAGCCTCTCCTTTGACATGGCTGACAGTGTGAAGGGCCAGTGTTAACCCAGAATGGCAAGATTCTGGGACCCCCACTGGAACAGTACTCCACACATCCATCAGGACATGAACAGTGAACCTCACGGGACCATCCTTTATAGTCTCACCCCTTTTGCCATGTGATGTCCCAAGTGTAGATCAGCTGAAATCCACAGACTCAAAGCCTGCACATCCAGTCTGTCTTTAGGACCCTCTGAGATGTAGAGAATCACTAGGAGGGCTGGCTGTGGGGTAGTCCATTTCAGTCTGAGCCCTTCTTTCCTCAACCTCTCTAATATCTGAGCCCCCGCTAACATTGTCCAACTGGGCTCAGGGCTGAAAACCACACATCTCTTTTCTGGACCACTCCAATTTACAGGACAGTTAGTAGCTGACCTTCCTTCATTCTGTGCTGCCTGTGTGCCTCTCAGGCTGCTTGGCTCAGTGTTCACAGTCTCCCAGGGACCAAAGCACAAGGTCATTACCCAGGCTAGGGAATTCCCTCAAAGAAGAGTCCTTCTTTTCCTAACAGTGAATCTCTGCAGTAGAGCAGGAGTAACACAAAGTGTTGGACCCTGGGAACCCCAGAGCAAGATGGGAAGGAGCCTCAGACAGAGATGGAACCCAGCAGCAAGAACCCAGACAGAAGAAAATGGAAGGAAACACTCATTCCAAAACATTGCTTTGATAGTTCGGTTTGTTGTTGTTGTTGTTGTTGTTGTTGTTGTTGTTTTTGAAACTTGGTAATGGTTGAATGAACTTGTCCAAAGAGATCTTTCTTTATATGATGTCATTAAATTGAAGTAACAATATATATATTTTTGAGACAGGGTCTCACTAAGTAGCCTAAGCTGGCCTTGGACTTATAATCCTCCTGCTTCAGCCTCCAAAAGCGCTGAGATTACAAATGTGTAACCCCATGTCGGGTTTAAAGTAACAATTTTTAAAAATCTAAATGGCCAGTTGAAAAGTAGTTCCCTCAAATTCATGTTTTCCTGAGATGATACGGCTCAGATGGCCAAAAAGATGGCTTGGGTGGTATTTATAGCAGCATTAGACCACAGTGGCCTGCAATTGGCAAGAGCCTAGCCATCCTGTGCTCATACCATGAGCAGCAGAAGGCACTGAGATAGCTCCAGTTGGTTCTGCAGAACAAGACAAAGGATGGTTATGGCCGAATTCAGATGGCAAGAAGGTGGCATTTGCTCTGCAGTGCAGTTCTCTTCCTGTGGTTAGAGCTTGGGCAGTCTGCTGGGAGCAGGCTTGCTCACTGAGAATAAGGACAGCACAGTTTCTTCCCCAGGTTTTGAAAGCAGTGTCCCCCAAACAGGCTTTCTGTCCACATTGTATTTCCACACCTTCTCCCCAGGATCGAACCAAAGATGCATCTCCGATTTTGTGACTGTGCTGTCCTTATGTGGTTTTTGTGGCATCTGGTGTCTGACCACATCCAGCTGGTGCTTGATGGGTACTATCTCCATGTGGGTCCTGGACCTTGGTATTAGGCAGGGGACCACTCAGTCATGAGCAGCATTGCCAGGAGGGAAAAATTGGCACTGGTTGGATCACAGTTTAGGAGCTGAGTTATGAAACAGACTTGAATCTTCAATCTTTGATCAGTTCTGATGAGACCAGAGACCACAGCTATGGCTACAATGCCAGTAGAGTCATCATGGTTCATTGATTCCAAAGTGGGACAGTTCCTTTAAAATCACAAAGCCAGCTTTCACTTCCCTGGCAGACAGGCTTTGCCAGTAAGGGATGCAATAGACCTTCACCATTTCTTGTTTACCAGTGGTGACTTCCTTTGGCTCCTCGCAGCTCTGACTGAGCACGAACAGAACACACCTTTGGCTGACCCTGGAAATGAGATGCCCTGGTCCTGACTGACCTTGGCAAAACCCGGGCTGCTTAATCCCTCTAGGGGGAATCACCCCAGCCCTAGAGTATATTAGGAAGATGTCAGTCTCTCAGCATCTGGTGACAGACTTGTATCCTTTTATGACTTCAGTTTGGGTTCCAGGACTTAACATTGAAAATGGAACTTTTTAAACAGAGAGAAGAATCATCTAGCAGATGCTCTCTATTTGACAGGATGTGCTTGATTTTTTTGATGGGTGAAGAATCCTTTCTTCAGAGATGACTTCCAGCCGCAAGCACCCCACTCAGCAAGTTGGCCGGATGTGTACCTGTATGTCATCATCTCTGTAACCCCTTATGTCTCCTTCTGGCTTTTTGCTTTCCTTGAACATGTGTGTGTTCCTGTGTTGCTGTTAGCTGGTGGAGAATGTGTCGCCCATTCTGCAGATTCTTCGAGGACTGCTTCAGGTATTGTACCAGTAGCTGACTGTGTTCCTGTTGGTGATTTGGACTCAGGTGTATGGTGAACCCAGCGAGGAGGGAACAATCTGTGTTTTTGGGGTGTGTGTGTGTGTGTGTAAACACCTGACAGACAAATCTATGAAACCGTGTGAACGAAGAGATGTTAAATTCTTTATTGTTTTATTATATTTATATGGAATACTTGACTATCCTTTTGCTAAGTACAAAGTGTGTTGTCTGTTTGACCCATGACTGTCCTTCATGAATCCATGCCTGTGATTTCAGTCAGCCTGTGTGGCTACCCACAGAAATGACCGAACTGTCATCGTGTGAAGTCCAGGAGGAAAAGTCCATTTTAGTTGTATGATTTGGTCATAAGTAAAAGCTATATTTATGTCACCATTATTAAATATATGTACTTTTGTAATGACTGTGAAATACACGTTTTCCCCACTATGCCTGTGCCTTCCTTTATTTGCTGATAAATCATAAAACATCAAGTGTGTTGTAAACAGTGCCCTTGTTTACTTAAAAGTCTTGGTGTGGTAGCTGACTGGACATAAGTGGGAACTGAGTGTATGTGGGAAGACTTGGAGCTTCTTCCACTCCAGTACTCTCCTACTTTAATTCACTTGGAACAGGAGTGTTTACAAAGTTCTGTGTGGCTGGTGCTTTGTAAGTGGGAAGACACATCTTGATGGGTCAAGATTTCCTGTAGAGACTCAGAAAATGACACATACAGAATGGCGTCTGTGGATGATGCTCTGGACTCTCTCCTTGCTTTAGGCCCAGGTCAGGGAAAGGAGCTTGGTTGGGTTGGGTTGCGGGGCGGCGGGTGGGGGGTAATAGATTAGCTGTTTGGAGTGTTCTGGTTATGACTTGAATCATAATTGTTCACAGAATGTTTTGTAGGTGCCACCTTCCTTCAACCCTTGTGTCCCATCCCTTTTAGGGTAAGGAAATTCAGGCTTGGCAGGTTGCATAGATACAGAGTGGAAAGGGCCCCTGTTCCCACTACACAAGTTCTGAAGAACAAATACATAGTTTCGATGTTTTTCTTGTACAAACCACAACATTTCAGAGCAGAAAGGAACCCAAGGTTCTCTGACTCAACCCCCACTTTTTTTCTTGAGACAAGGTCTCACTATGCAGCCCAGGCTAGCCTTGGAGTCACAATCCTCCTGCCTCAGCCTTCTGAGTGCCGAGATTACAGACATGCCCCACCATACCCAGCCATCCAAGCCTTTTTTGAAGATGAGAAAACCAAGTTCTCTGTTTTACTGATAGCCCAGAGTCTCCACTTGAACTCACCAGTTTGGAGCACATGGCTCCTCCCTCAAAGAACTAGAGAGATCCGAGTGTGGCCGTCATAGTCATAGAGGAAACTTGACAGCAAGTCCAGCTGTCATTGCATGCGGTGCTGCTGAGGTTTCTGTCAAGACATCTTTACATTTTTAAGTTATTTTCACATCTGCACACTTTTGAGAGTAACTTCCTTGATTTTCCAACTACTGAACATCACACTCTTTCTACCATTGATTATTGAATCTGGGGATAGATGACTTCTTTTCTGTCCTCTTCTTCAATAGACCTGATGCAGGTAGCACCCCCTAGATAACTTCATCTACTTTAGCTATTAAAAAGGTGATTGGTGTTTGCTAGATTAAATCAATGGAACATTTTGCATAAAGCCATATCATAAAATGAAAATTCAGAAAGAATGCAAGACTGAGTTTTTTAAAGAGGGGTCTGGAAGCCTCTTGGTTACTATATTTGTCTTCTGTGTGCGATCTTCTGTGTACCACAGGCACAGTAAGAATAATTCAGAGCAGTGCTGGGAGCTGGTTCAATTTAATGTCATCACTTTTCAATGAAAGGAGTGTGTTTCCTGAGTCGTAAATGAGTGTATTATTTGTGGCAGCTCTTTTGTCAAGGGAGCTTTTCAGACATCTGCTTCCAAAGACAAATGGGGTACATATTTGTACTTCTTTGCTGTGGATGTGTTTTCACTGCACACTGTTGGCTTCAGGTTCGGTGTCCGTAGGGATGCCGGAATGGTGGGCGGGAGGCTTTGCAAGAGAAGATAGAGAAGCAGTTCAGACTTTGTCACCAACCTTGCGCAGGTATCTGCATCTGAGCTGGTGTGCAGATAATGAGGAACTTGGGGGGATACATCTGGGAGCATAGACCAGCTTAATGCAGAGCAGACTTGGGAATCACTGCAGTTGAGTGATTTATGAGGAAAAGATGGCACATTTCGGAGAGAAAAACACCAGACATATTTACAAGTGAAAAAATAAATGGCTCTGACTTCAAGGCCTGAGTGATTTGCATTCGCTACTTAGAAGATGACTTGCTTTGAAAGCAAAAGCTTTAATGTAGATTAAACTCTATGTAATAATAATACCTTGTACCACAGCCAGCAAAAGGGAGGTGCCAGTCCTGTACTGGGAACAAGACTGGACGGGGGTCCTTGGCAGGTCTAAGATAGAGCACCTTGTCAGGACCTCTTCACCAGCAGGATCCTTTGGGCTTTGTTTGTGTAACACATTACACGTCAAGTCTCCTATGACTTTAGTAAAGATTTGTTTCCTACAAATTTTAATGAGACTTGCTGAGACAGAGCAGCCGTCTGTCATGGGGTCATCTGGGGATCTGGGCAGTTTCTGGCTTGTTGCACTATCCCCTTAGAACACAGGTTAGGCAAGTGCTCAGCCACAAATGAGACACCTACACCGCACTCCTTCCTCAAGGTTTAGGGGCCATCGCATAAAAGGGGGCAGAAAGATTGTTAAGACAGAGGTTGGGAAGGACTCCAGTGAGTGAAACGCTGTCTTCTGAACGTGGCAAGATCACTGCACTCAGGAGCTCACAGCAGCCGTGGTTGCTTGTACCACAGGTACACAAGTTCGAGCCAGTCAACATTTTGGCATAGCGGGGGCATTGCCTCATGAGCCCCTACCCCTGAGGAGCCATGGACAGTCAAAGGCTTCCAGGAGAGGGAAAGTCAGTTTTCTTTAAGGATGTGGTTCTTGGTAGGTTGGCTATGCTTCACTGAGTGGCCTTACACCCAGGAGTATATAAACAGCACATGAGGTTTTTTTTTAATATTCTATTTATTTTATGTGTATGAGTTTATTGCCTGAGTGTATGTAAGCGCACTCATGTTGTACAATCCCTGAGGATGTCAGAAGAGGGCGTCAGATCCCTGGAACTAGAGTTAAGACAGTTGTTGGCTGTCATGTGGGTGCTGGGAATTGAACTCGGGTCCTCTGCAAGAGCAGCCAGTGCTCTTAACCACTGAACCATCTCTCCAGCCCCCAGAATTGATAAGTTATTTAAAAAAAGAACACAAAGTAGGGGTGGTAGGGAGATGAGAGCAGACTGGGAGGATGCAGCAGTTCACAATGCCACATTACAGCAATGCCTAACTAACCACAGCCTGATGCTTAGCCCATTTTAACCAAGAGTGGAACCCCAGACTCTGAGAACCTGCTCCTTCAGATTTCTCCTGGAACCAAGACTTTCCTCTCTCTGTATTGAAAATATACATCCAGCATAAAACGGGGACGTAAAATCCAACTCTGATCTTATCAGAGAAAGACTTGCCCTTTCTGACCCCTACTGACCTAGAACCAAACACACAAGGACAAACAGATGCTCTCAGTCTAATTCCACCTATTGTTTGTAACACAAATGGGTAATTCTCATTACTTCTAATGAATATTCTTAGCTGGAAGCACTTGCTTGATATAAACACACACACGCACATTATTCTGGGTCTATGGCAATAAAGGGTCATGAAGGATTAAAGCTGTAAGTTTAGGTTACAAGAGAAGCCCAGTAAGCTCTTTTACATCATAAAAAGCTGCAACGGTGTCCCATAAGTCATTCCCATAGGGGAGTTAGGACAAGGAAGAGGGTGAATATGATTAAAATATATCATATGAAATTCTCAAATATATTTAGGTAAAATAAAAAATAATCGCAGTTCTGTGGTTGCTATCACAAGAGGAAAGCAAAAGAGTTTCCATCAGCCCTTTAGGGTTCAGTGAGGGGCTGATCATACCCTCTTATAGCCTGATGGCTTGAACTGGGGTTTTTGGTCTTGCCTATGAGCATGAAGCTATTTGAGGTATTGTTAATGTTCCTGCCACTTTCAGAAAGATGCAGATGCCTGCAATTTAAAGGTGTCTGTTGCATGACTTTTGCTGGGAGATGTTAAAAAAAAAAATCTATTAATCTAAGATAGAGCACTGACAGACTGAAGGAAATAATATGTGCAAGTCCAGGTCATGGTCAGCCCGTGAGTTTACCAGGGGTTATTTACAGGAGCACAGACAACGAACCACCAGGAAGTCCCCTGGATGGTTTACGAGAGGCTGTACCACTGGGAAATCCCACTCTAGTTTACCTCTTATATAAAGTGATTGGGACCTTGGGGAGAGTCTCATGACCCCAATAGCCTAGATTTCATGAGGGTCTTATGCAGGCCATCACAGCTGATCTGCTACAAGATCGCAATGGTCATGTCTAACCTGGAGGAAACAGCTATCTCACAGCCCCCTAGAGCTGAGTTTCAGTGGTATATGCCTGTAATCCTAGCACTGGGGAGGTTAAGGTTGCAGGATTGCAAGTTTAAGGTCAGCCTGGGGTATAGAGAGGCCGTCTCAGTAAATAAATATCCCTAAAATCAGACACGCTTTGCCCCATTGTTGCACCACTGTAGCAGCTATTGTTGAGCAAGGGTTAGGTTTTCTCTATATGTGTGTGTACACGTATGTGAGTATGTATATGCAGGTAGGTGTGGGTGTGTACGCACATGGAGGCCAGAGGACACGGATTCTGTTTCTTCAGGTGCTTTCACCTTGTTTTTGGAGATAGTCTCTTATTGGCCTGGAACTCTCCTCATGGCCTAGCTGGCTGGCCAGTGAACTCACAGAGATCTGCCTGCCTCTGCCTCCCAAGTGCTGGGACTATAGGTGTATGCTACCACAATCGGCTCCAGCCTTTTTTTAAAAATGTGGATGGGGAATCTAAGGTCCTCATGCTTACAAGGCAAACACTTTACTGACTGAGCTATCGCCCCAGCTCAAGGATTATATTTTCTAAAGAAGGGAACAGACTTGGTAAATTCAATCACATTTATGAAGAGCATTTTAGGGTGAATTGTGCCCTCCCAAAATTCATATGTTGAAACCCTAATCCCCAGTATCTCAGGATGTGACCCTATTTGAAGACAGGGCTTTATAGAAGCAAATGAAAATGAGGCAATTACAGTCAGACCTGATGTAATCTCACTGGGAACACCAAGCACGAAAGACCCAAAGACCGAATGAGGACACGGGGAGGAAGCAGTTGTCTGCCAGCAAGGAGCAAGGCCTCGAGGGACACTTCTGCTAACAGCATCAGCTCAGGTTTCAGCCTCCAGAACTGTGGAACAATAGATGCCT